TGAGGCACACGTTGCCCTCCAGGTCGATGTTGGGGTGATAGACCATGGTCTCGCACTTCACCTTGGGGGGGTCGTGGGGGTAGCCCTGGCCGACCTGGGGGGCGGCGTCACCGTCACGGCTCGGGGGACCGCGAGGCTCCCGGGGGGCTCCCGGCTCCGGCCTCCGCTGCCCCCATCTCCCACCCGTGGCCACTCGGCTCCTGGGGGGCCGGCTCGGGGGGTTGACGTCTACGTCTTGGTGGGGTCCACCGGCCCGGACCCCAAGGCCGGACACCCCGCTCTCGCCTCGGTGTCCCCTCCCAAGAGCCGCCAGCTCGGCTAACGGGTGGCTAACGGTCCTGTCTCAGCGGCCACCACCGAGCGCTGATCGCGCGCTGGGGGCCACTAGTCGCGTCTCGGCAGCCCCAGCCCCGGTGGCAGAGCTCCGCCTAGGTCCGCGCATCGCGTTTCGGTGGCCACGGGTACCGTTTTCGTAGCCACGCACCCCAGAGCCACCGCCAAGCCCAACCAGGCGCGTCTCGGTGGCTGCTCATTGCGTCCCTTTGGTCGCCGCCACCTCGGTGGCCACCAGCCGCCCGCTCCAGGCAAGCGGCCCAGTCCCWCCTTGATGGCCACCAGACGGGGCCTGGTGGCCACGGGCCCCCCCTTGCCCCCCCGCAGGCGACTGACCTTAAAACTGAAGACAAATTTGCCTCCCTTGTAGAAGCCCTGGGGGAGGAAGAGACGTCACCGGGGGACGGGGACACGRGGGGGACCCCAGGGGGCACGGGGGGACCCCGAGGGACATGGAGGTGACGGGGGGCTCCCCATAGGGACAAGAGGGGACCCCGATGGCTGAGGGGACCCCAGGGGGACAGAGGATCCAGGGGGAGGGACAAGAGGGGACCCCGGGGCCCAGGGGGGTCCCCAGAGGGGATAGAGGATCCGAGTGGGGGCGAGACAGGACCCCAGGGGACCACAGTGGGGGTACCCCAGGGGTGACAGAGGGTCTGGGGGGGGGCAAGAGGGGACCCCAGGGTATGGGGGACCCCAGGGTGACAGAGGATCCGTGGTGGGCCCAAGAGGGAACCCCAGGGTGGGGGGACCCCAGGGTGACAGAGGATCCGGGGGGGCAGGAGGGGACCCCAGGGGTGAGGGAGGATCTAGGGGGGCAGGAGGGGACCCCTGCATGGGGGGACCCCAGGGGTGACAGAGGATCTGGGGGGACAAGAGGGGACCCCAGGGAACCAAGATGGGGGGACTCTGGGGTGATAGAAGATCCGGGGGGGCAGGAGGGGACCCCCACATGGGGGGACCCCAGGGTGACAATGGATCCGGGCGCAGGAGGGGACCCCAGGGGTGACAATGGATCCGGGCGCAGGAGGGGACCCCAGGGTGACAATGGATCCGGGGGCGCAGGAGGGGACCCCAGGGTGACAATGGATCCGGGCGCAGGAGGGGGCCGGGGGGTCGTCACCTCGTCGGGGCAGATGAGCAGGCGGAAGTGCAGCAGGTCGTCCTGGTCGGAGAAGTCGATCTCGCAGGTCTTGGGCAGGTTCAGCTCGTTGATGTCTGCGCCGCGGCGGGCACGGGTCACACGGGCCCGGTCCTGCCCGGTGCCCCGGTACCGGGCCCGGTTCTGACCCGCAGCAACCACCCCCTCCAACAAGGGACGAGCCCTAAGGGGGGTCCGGTCCCGGTTCCCTCSCCCCCTGCTCCCGGCCCACGTCCAGCGCCGGTTCTGCCGCCGGGACCGGGCCCAGCTGGGTCCCCCCGCTAAGACCCAGCGCTGGTTCCGCTCCCGGTTCGGGCCCGCGGCTGCCCCGGGAAAGGCGGGCCTCCGAGGCCGCTGCAGCCTCGGTCCCCCCCCCCGGGTCCCCCCCCTCGCGGCCCCGGTACCGGCCCCGGTACCGGGTCACCTTTCTGGATGCGGAGCTGGGCGGCCGAGGCCTTTTTGCTGGTGCCCTTGGTGCCGCCGGCCGATTCCTCCTCCTTCTTCTGCTGCTTCAACGAGAAGAGCTTGATCATCCTGCCGGGCCGCGCCGGGCCGGGCCGGAGCGCACCGGGCCGGGCCGCCCCGGGACGGGGCAGGGGGCCGGGC